GCTCTGGTTAAAAGACCGTAACCTGGGCAGTACTGAACACTCATGTATTTCTCGTTTCTTTAGGGACTCTGGAAAGAATTGCAGAGCTGTTGCTTTCAGCAAGGATGGATCCCTGTTTGCCTGGTGCAATGGAGAAAAGTGGGTGGATTTCACGATTCTAACCTTTTGTTTGTAGGACATAAACTGGATCAGTTATGCCCCATTTGGTCTTGTCTATGAAGGTGATTGCTGTGGGTGCAAGTGTTTGCACACACACTGTGAATGCAGGGGGATTTTGCATTACTTGCAGCGGTGGCTTTGTTTCCTATCACATGAAATATTTGATGATGTTTTATTTGTAACACACCCATGCCTGTGCAGTCTGGGTGTGCTTTACTTATTTGGTTGTTTCTCTGTTCATAGCTCCCAGTGCCTGGCGTCTGGGGTTAATCCATTCGTAAAGTCTAAAGAAAATGAAAAGTCTGTGCACTTAGGTACCAACATCATCAGGTTCTTTTTTTTTACAGACCAGGTGCATTGTAGAGTTCAGTCTCTGGCTGCAGATAGAAATGTGTATTATGCTTTGACCAGTGCTCTCATTTGGTTTTTGTCATGGTTTTAAAATGGCAAAAACCTAGTCAAAGCAAGAGGGGGAAAAAAGCTCTTCTAATTTTGCTACACTGGCCAAATTTGGGACAGATCTAGAGGAGTCAAATGTATGACCAGTTCCCTTGGCTATTTCTTCACTGCTGTAAGCATGTTTTACTGAGATAGCCCCTTTTATTTGCAGAGTGAATGTTGTCAATGTCACCAGTGCTGCATTGCTGTGTTCCTTCGACCTCCCAAAGGCTGTTTGCCTTGAGTTCTCGCCAAAGAATAACATTCTGGCCACGTGGCAGGCCTATGCCAGTGAGTACTGCACCATCTGGGAAACCACTGGGGGGTGCAGGCTCTCCAGGACCTGACTGCTCTCTGCAGCACATACAGTGGCTAAATGAGCAGTGCAGAAAACCCTGTGGGTGATGAGGTGCACAGTGCAGCAGGGAGGGAGGGATGGCATTGCCTGAGATCATCTGGTGTGTGCCATCCTTACCAGCACTGCACCAGAGTGCACATGCTGACAGTCACTCTGCAAGTGCATGACATGTTATAAACACCTCTCCTGAAGAGAGAGTTGTGGCTGCAGTGGGTTTGATAAAGTCATGGCACTGCTGTGGGAGCAAAACAGGAGTGGAGAACATGCCTCCACTATTTGCCACAAGGTTAGGTTTGGGTTTGATTACAAAACAGGTGCTAAAAAGCTGTTCAGGTGCTGCTGGTCCCAGCCTGGCAGCAGGGAGCAGACACTCTGCACCTCCAAATGTGAGCTCCTTCTGCAGACAGGGCTGGGGTGAATGGGTGCAGCAGTCACCGGTTGTGGGTTTGGCCCCTCGGGGGTAGGATGCTGCCTGTAAGAGGTTCCTGCATGTTTGGGTGCTTACAGGACAGTAGGGTGGGATGTCATGGTGAAGCAGTTTAATCCCCAGAGACCACTCTGTTCTTTCGCAGCTGCCAAGGATGGCACAGCAGGAGTGCCCAACCTGCAGCTCCACGATCTGAGGACTGGAAAATGCTTGAAGTCCTTCATCCAGAAGAAACAGCAGAACTGGTAAATGTCCCTTCCATTCAGGTGCTAATTGTTTGCAAAGAAATGTGATTTCCAAAATGTGGTCCAGGTAAATGGAGCTTTTGGTTGGTGTTGGCTTGCAAACCAGTGCCTGCTGCTAGCTGAAAGGCAGTGTCTGTGCTTGTGAGTGCCTGGGTGTAGTTCATTGTGAGTTCTGGGTGTAGTGCATTCTGAATTCACTCTGTGCACCACAAAGAAGGGTGGGCAGAGAATAACTTCAGTCCATTTGTGTGTGTTTTGCTATGCTGATGTCATTTGTCCTTATGAAATGTGCCGTGTTTGAACTTGCTGGGCTTTAAAAATGGAGGGGGAAACAGTCCTGGAGTGCCAGAGCTGAGCATCCCTCAGTGTTTGTGTCTTTCCCCTTGACTTGCAGGTGTCCCTGCTGGTCAGATGACGAAAGCGTTTGTGCCAGGAATGTGAACAACGAAGTGCAATTCTTTGAGAACAACAACTTCAGTACGGGAGTATTTCCCTGTCTCATTCATGCTAGAAATTCTGGTGCTTCTGGGGGTGGTTTGTGTTCACAGGGCTTTCCTCAGTTCTTCTTTTGTTTGCTTTTTACTTTAAAAATTGCCTGCCTATGAGTTTGGAATTCAGAAGCATTATGCTTGCTTTTTACTTTAAAAATTGCCTGCATTCTATATGAGTTTGGAATTCAGAAGCATTATGCTCAATGAAGTGTGTTTTCACTAATTTATGTGGTATGAATTGCATCTAATTTTTAGTTAGAGACCTGATTCCATATTGCTTCTCATTTAATGAGATCAGGAAATTGTCAGTAGAGAACATGATCTGAGATTACGTCTTTGGGTTGTGTGTGCTTTGTCAATAAAATGTTAAAAATGGCTCATTAAAAAATTGTATCCATGGCAAAAATGAAGTAGTGGAGCCTGAAAACTAAGGAGGTTTATCACTGGTGGTAGAATATTTGGAGTCATCAGAGGGTGAAAAGGGAAAGGGGAGGATAAAAGCAGGAAGATGGAAGTTAGTTAGAACAAAATTGTAAAGGAATTAAAGAGAACTGAGGGGAGACCAGTGGTGTGTGGTTTGGTTTTGTGTTCTTTGTTTTGTTTGAAATATAGAGCTGATGCAAGAATTATGGCTGTGATAAGTGCAGTTTGCTGGGAATTATCCCCGCTGACACTAACTGAGCTGTGGGAAGCATGGAATGTCAGGCTCAGCAGGAGCTCTGCTGGCACTGCACATTCCATCAGTTGTTTGGGTAAGGGGCAGTGTTAGCCCAGTACAGGCCTCTGGGTGCTTCCTACTGGGAAGAGTCATCCCCCGAGGGTGTGAGGAGAGAGAAAAATCCTTCATCATTACCCTTACTGGTCTTTGATACCCACAATACAGCCCCATAGGAGGTAATGTGGTTTGTCATTAATGTCACCCTTTGTGACCTTTTCCCTGGCAGATACCATTGCAAACAAGCTGCACTTGCAGAAGGTCAGCGACTTTGTGTTGTCCCCGGGATCACAGCCAACCAAGGTACTCCTGCTCTGCTTTCCCACCCTTCCCTTGTTTTTTTTCAAGGAAAACAGCAGTGATTTTAGCACAGTATACTGGCAATAGCTCTCCCCAGCAAGGCTCTCACCTGCTCCCCACTGCTGTGGCTGTTGCAGGTGGCTGTGTATGTCCCAGGCAGCAAAGGTGCCCCGTCCTTCGTCAGACTCTACCAGTACCCCAACTTTGGGGGGCCATCGTCAGCACTGGCCAACAAGAGCTTCTTCAAGGCCGACAAGGTGACGATGCTGTGGAACAAAAAAGGTAGAACAGCTGTGTGTTGACATTTCGGTATTCTGCCTGTTTTGGATTGAATTACTTTGTTTACTGTGATTGATTTGCATATGCAGATGAAGCCTGAGCACAGCCATTAACTCCAGCACAGTGCTCAGCACTCTGCTGTCACTTCCAGGAGCTTGTATGTTGTAATTGAGAGTATTCTGTACATGTTGGTAAATTTAGCAGTTGAATGGCAATATTTTGCTATTATGTATACTATATGATAGGTATATAATTATATATTATGTATCTAAGTTTGCATTCTGTGTGGATAATGTATTTAGATTGTGAACATAAGAGCAGTGTATGGTCTGGTATAACCTCAGCCTGTAAAATTGTACATACACAGACATATCCCATCTGGACTAAGCTGACAGACCTCTGTGCTTTGCTCTTTGTTAGCAATGTTTGTTCAGAATCATCTTGTACGAACTGTTTTGCCTAAACCCACATCGTTGGGAATACAGGGAAGGAGTTGCACACACTAGAATCCACATATGGGCACAGAGCTTTGGCTGACAGATGTGCATAGAACATCTGCTGATGAAACGTTTTATTCAAGGGCTGATCAGGATCTTTGGTTTCTGCCTTAGGTTAATGATTTTAATATTCATAGATTAATATATTTCAGTATATTGGTTTATGTCTGCAAAGTATGTTCCTTTGCTTGTGATCCAACAGTGAATGCATAGACTGTGATTACACTTTGCATGTGAGAAAGGAAGGTGTTTGGTCCATGTGGATTAACACTTGGGAGCAGTTCAATTCAGGAAAGAATGATACTAATGCTGTTACCTAAGCAATCAGTTAGAGTTCCTAAGGAAGCTGATTTCCCTGTGTGGTGTGGTTTGTGCTGAGCTGCCTGTGTGTTCCTGCAGCCACAGCAGTGCTGGTGGTGGCGAGCACCGAGGTGGACAAGACGGGAGCGTCGTACTACGGCGAACAGACACTGCACTACATCGCGGCCAACGGGGAGAGCGCGGTCGTGCAGCTGCGTGAGTGCTCAGGGCTCTGCAGGGTCTTCAGGGCTTGGGTGGACCTAGGGAGCATCCAGTCCCAACCCCCTGCCCTAGCAGGGACACCTCCCACCAGGACAGGGTACTCAAAGCTTTCTCCAGCTGCTGTCACCAAGTGCCATTCTCTGTCACACCTGTCTGAGCTGCACTGAGTTGATGTCACTGAACAGGTTTGGAAGGGGAATATATAGTGTGATTATCAGCCTCGTTCCTAAGGATAATGAGACTTCAGAGTGACAACAGAAATGAACCATTTAACTCAGTTTAAGATTTTGGGTCAGCTCTCGATTTCAGGATTCGGTAATGCATGTGGCATTTACCAGAACTACAGGCAAAGACATCCAGATCACAGAGTCATAATGTCCTGTGGTTTGTATTTACTATTGTTTAGTTTTCATCACTAATTCATTGTTCTTCAGTACCTCCTCACGTTCCAACCCCCAGAATAGCTCCTAGCAATACCAGGTTTTGATCATTATGTGTAACACCATTTTTGTGTGCTCCTGTTAAAATCTGGCTTATAAGATACTGTGCGTGGTCCAAAGATAACTTAGGTCACTACTGCTAACGTCTGCAAATCTGGGCTATGCCATACTTCTTACCATAAAGAGGAACCATTATCCACCTGGTATAAAACTCCTGTTTTCGCAGGTTTCCAGTGGGAGAGTTTGAGAAGGTCCTGAGGTCATACTTGAGGACAAAAAGTAGAGGATTTTTTTTACATGAAAAGCTATGCTTACTGTTAAAGTGCTGATGCTGCCCCCACAGAGGTAATTCCGAGTGGCTGCAGTTGTTGTTGCGAACTGTAACTAAAGCTGTCAGAGGATAAAAGGTTGTTTCTCCTCTGTTGGTAGCAGAATTAGTTGTCACTGTCAATAAGTAGATCACAGTATTTTAGCAAAGCATGAAGAATGGCTCTGGGTTTTGTTTTGGCTTGCACTGGAAAAATGCAGCCTCCCAAAAGCTGCATGTTTTTGCTTCCGCTCCAGCAAAAGATGGCCCCATTTATGACGTTGCCTGGAGCCCCAACTCCGTGGAATTCTGTGCTGTGTATGGTTTCATGCCTGCCAAAGCCACCGTTTTCAACCTGAAGTGTGACCCCGTGTTTGACTTTGGCACTGGCCCTCGCAACGCTGCCTACTACAGCCCCCACGGACACATCCTGGTGCTGGCAGGATTTGGGAACCTGCAGGGACAGATGGAGGTGTGGGACGTTAAAAACTACAGGCTCATCTCCAAGCCTGTGGCCTCGTATTCCACCTACTTCGCCTGGTGTCCGGACGGAGAGCACATCGTGACGGCCACATGTGCCCCGCGGCTCCGTGTCAGCAACGGCTACAAGATCTGGCACTACACGGGCTCAGTGCTGCATACCCACAAGGTCCCTGACAACCAGGAGATGTGGCAGGTGTCCTGGCAGCCCTTCTTGGACGGCGTGTTCCCAGAGAGAGCTGTGAAGTACCAGCCTGTTCCCAGTGAGCTGCCCAGCGCCGAGCCGAAGCCTGCTCAGGCCTACAGACCTCCTGCCCTCAGGAACAAGCCTGTGACTAGCTCCAAGCTCGTGAGTAGCAGTGTCCTGTGCGAGCTGAGCTTTTGTGTCTCGTGGCCTCATCAGTGTGCAGCTTGGCCTCACCTACGTGTGTGGTTTTAAGAAGGAACATGGGAAGAGTAACCAGGCTGACAGCAGCACTGTGGGGATTTGAAGGGGTTTGGATAACCCTCTTTGGGTGTTTGATTAACCCTCTTTGTGGGTTTGGAGGGGTTCGGATAACCTTCTTTGGCACTTTGGTTTGCAAGAATCTGTGCTAGAAAAGTCCCATTTCTTTGGCCCAAATAATGTCCATTTGCAAAGCATTTTCAGGCTTTATTGATGCTCTCTGCAACATGCACTGGAACACTAAACTGCAGGTGTGGTTTGGGTGAAGTTGGGCACTCTGGTTAGGACAGGAACCTTTGATGAGGGTGACCTGACTCACCAGTCTGCACCCAGCCAGCCTGGGGCTTGACTGGCCTCCCTCAGCCACTTTTCTGGAGGGGGTTTTAAGGTAAGTTTACTTGCTAGAAGGAGGTTGGATCATCAGCAAGTCACCTGCAGCTTGGACACATTTGAGTACAGTGACCTACTTGTCTAATGAGTTTCTTCTCTGCAAGTTTTCAAAGTAGCCTGAGTAGCAGGTAATTCCATTTAACAACTACATCCATGGTATTGGAGTCCTGGAGAGCTTTGGCTTGGTGCTTTGGAGGAGACTTGGGCTGTGCACAGCCTGTTAGCCATGCTAGGGGTGCAAACCATCCATGAGCAGAGGGAGCAGGGGAAAGATGCAATAATTCTGTTTACTTATATGGGAAAAAAATCTTGTCATACGCATTAAAAAAATACAGTGCCACAGATAAGAGTTACCTGAAAAACCTTGAACAACTCTCCCTTCTCAGTCCCCACTGTCCCCCAAGAATTGCCCATCTGCCCTCCTAGTCTTCCTCTCTTGTCACCAGGAGTTTGAGTTGAAGTTGTCAGCAACAGCAAAATGCCAAGCTCCAAGTTATTTTGTGCAGGGTTATTCCTCTTGGATTTTGTTTCCCCCTGAAATAGAAAACATAATGATTTTGTTAATCAGAAATCCTGTGTTTAGGACACACAAGGTGGTTCCATCCAAACTCAAATGGATGAGTATGAAACCCTTCTCACACTCTTTGGCTATTCCATTCAGTGCATACTTGTTTTTCCCCCTTCCTTTCTTTGTTTTTCCTTCCTCTTCCTTTCTGGTTCATATTTGCATGTGATGTTGTCTTGGTAGGTGTTGGGTTTTCCATGCCTACACCTAATGCAGGTGTCGAACTTCATTTTGCATGTGCTGCAGCATGAGGATGAGCCCCCCCAGAATATGAAGCCCCACCCAGGAGGTGATAAGCCAATGTCCAAAACAGCTCTCAAGAATCAAAGGAAACACGAAGCAAAGAAAGCTGCTAAACAGGTACTGCAGAAGCTATTCTGTCAATGCTGATGTTAATTAGTTGATTAGCTTTCCCCAAGGGCACTGGTCAGTCTCAGAGCAGTGACCTGTGCATTGGGAGCTTTCCATGTGTCTCACACATGCTGCAGTGTGGGGAGCACAGCAGAGTTCAGCCAGATCAAAGCAGGTACAAACTACTTAAAAGCAGCAGCTTTAGTGAGTCACTGTGAATGTTAGCTGAAACCAGTGTGAAGACAAAGTATTTCTGACTTTTCACCTTCTGCAGAGCTTGCTTTGGTGTTAGGTGGGAGGTGGGAATGGGCTGGGTGCCGGGGTCAGGGCACACCAGGGACAGCCTGTCTGTCCCCTCTTGGCTTGCTGTTCTTTGGCTAGGTAGATAAAAGTCAGCTGCCGATTTCTACAAAGCTCTGAAGCAATAACCTCTTTAAATAAGATTGTTTAAATTTCTTGCACTGGTTTTGAGCCCTTTCTTTTGCCTCAGAGACAATGACCCAGTCTGCTTTATAGAACATTTGTGTATGTGTGTGTCATGTCACCCTTACTGTGGCATGTTTCCTGTTTCCCTCTGCTGTGCATGGTTGGTGTCTTGAAGAAGTAGGAATTAAACAGGAAACAGCATGTGAGCTGTTCTAGATAAGCTTTTGTTTGTGGAAAGCACATCAATAATGGAACCCACCAGCAAACTGGTGAAAGAAAAAATATTAGATGGATCCCTCGATAAAGTGATGAAAGACATTTGGCACTCTCTGTGCAGTCAGAGGTATTTTCTAGACCGTGTGTTTGTTCTCTGTGTGTGCAGGAGGCCAAGGCCGATGGGACCCAGGGCACGGTGCCAGCCCTGGCCCCGCCGAACACCCCGCCAAACGCCGCGCCTGCCACCACCACGGGGCACCCTGAGCTCGACAAGAAGATAAAGAACCTGAGAAAGGTGAGGGATGATTCTTCTAACGGATTTCTCCACAGGCTGCACTGTGAGACCTAGTGTGAGCATGAGGTGAGCTGTGCTCAGGAGGATGCATTGACATCTGTGGTAATCTGAATTTGTAACCCACTGCCTTTGCAAGTTCTTGGATTAAATAATTTCAGCATGGAAATTGTTCAATTCAGGCTACATAATTTTTCCCGTTTCTCTTGGCCACCTCCTGCTTTTCATGATCACTGTTTGGATTAACACTCCAGGCTTTCTGAGGAGAGTGTGTGGTGAAGAGGGATAGTGATGGGTCATTCCTGGGTTTGGATCTGGTCCCCCAGTGGGACAGTGCATGGTGTTTCCTTCAGGGATGAGGAACTCTTCTGTCCTTTGTTCTTGAAAGAAATGTCTGTTATTGGTGGTAATTCTGGATTGAGCATCTGAAGGTGCTTGAAGGGAATGTGCCCTCCAGAGAGCCCTGCCTCTACATGCAAGTGCAGCAGCTTCTAAGACTTTTCTGTCCTTGGTTCTCCAATATTTTTGTGTTAGTGGCTTTTTGCTTAGGTTGATTTTCTTTTACAGAAACTAAAGGCAATCGAGCAGCTGAAGGAACAGGCAGCTGCTGGCAAACAGCTCGAGAAGAACCAGGTATGGATAAGATTTGTGCAATTTATTTGAGGTTCACTTGATAATCAGTTCCATCTGTGACACCTTTTTTTTGTCATTCTAGGTGGAGAAGATCCAGAAAGAAGCTGCTCTCCTTAAGGAACTGGAAGAGCTAGAACTGGGTGTTTAAAGCTCCAAACACAAAGTTCACTCAAAATGTAGTTTGTTATTAACTCGAACACAGTAAAATCTTTCAGCAAATGACCAAGGGTGCGAAAGTACAGGTTTGCTGCAATTTGCCTTTATTTTTCCAAAAGATTCATGCACAAGTGAAACTAAAGGAGTAAAATACACCCATGACCCACTTCTGCTGCTGTTCCAGCCAGAAACAGCTCCTTGAGAGCACACTGCCTAAAGCAGGCTCTTTCCACTGGGAGGACTCAGAGCGCCACCGCTCGATAGCTTTATTGTATTTAAAGAGAGGAGGTCTTTCTGCAATAACAGGATGTAGATACGAGTAAAGAGCATTTAATAAGAAAGAAAGGTGTTTGTGTGGTGTGTTTAGACTGTGTCAGGGCAGTGCCAGGCACACCTACAGGTTGGGAGGGGGCCTAAAGCAGGCTCTTTCCACTGGGAGGACTCAGAGCGCCACCGCTCGATAGCTTTATTGTATTTAAAGAGAGGAGGTCTTTCTGCAATAACAGGATGTAGATACGAGTAAAGAGCATTTAATAAGAAAGAAAGGTGTTTGTGTGGTGTGTTTAGACTGTGTCAGGGCAGTGCCAGGCACACCTACAGGTTGGGAGGGGAAGGAAGTGAGACCAGCACAGCAATCCTGTGACCCAGCTGGAGTGCTGCATGCAGTTCTGGTGCCCTCAACATAAGGAAGACGTGTTGGAGCAAGTCCAGAGGAAGCAATGAAGCTGATCAGAGGACTGGAGCATCTCCCCTACAAGGACAGGCTGAGAGAGGTGGGGCTGTTCAGCCTGGAGAAGGTTGTGTGGAGACCTCAGAGCAACCTGCCAGGAGCTGAATGGGCTCAGGGAAGCTGCAGAGGGACTCTTGGGTAGGAGCTGCAGTGACAGGACAAGGAGCAATGGGGATAAATTGAAAGAGGGAAATTTAGATATCAGGCAGAAGTTTTTCCTGTGAGGGTGGTGAGACACTGGCACAGGTTGCCCAGGGAGGCTGTGGCTGCCCCAACCCGGGCAGTTTTCACAGTCGGGTTGGATGAAGCCTTGAGCAACCTGTTCTGGTGAGAGGTGTCCCTGCCCAGGGCAGGGGTTGGGGCTGGATGATCTCTAAGCTCCATTCCAGCCCCTTAACACCAATGCAGCATTAAGAACAGGCATTACTATTTAATAAGAAAGGGATTTGCTGTGTTTACACTCAGGTGCTTGTTTCACCAGAAAGGGGACTCAGTGCTCCTCAGGCACTTCCTTCCATTGGCCCTGATGTACTTCCTGCCTTTGCCCCTCAGAGCTACCTGAAGCACTTTGTGCCATTGCCCCTCGGGGCACCTCAGGCACTTCCCTCCTTTGCTTCTGAGGTACCTGAGCTGCTTGCTGCCATTGCCCCTCAGAGGTGCCTCGGGCACTTCTGCCATTGACCCTCACAGGCGCCTCGGGCACTTCTGCCATTGCCCCTCAGAGATGCTTCAGGCGCTTCCCACCATTGCCTCTCAGAGGCGTCTCAGGCACTTCTGCCAGTGCCCCTCAGGCGCTTCCCACCATTGCCCCTCACAGGCGCCTCAGGCACTTCTGCCATTG